CGTCTCTAGTTCCAGCTCCTGCCAACCTAGCAGTTCGAAAGCAAGACATTGCAAGTAGATAAACAGGGACCACTTCGGTGGGAAGGGAACAGCGTTCCGTGCGCCTCGGTGTTTAGTCATGCCGGCCACATGACCACGGAAACGTCTTCGGACAGCGCTGGCTCTTCGGCTTTGAAACGGAGATGAGCACCACAAGGGTAGAGTCGGACTCGACTGGCTTTCGAGCAACGGAACCTTTACCTTTAATTCATACATAAGAATCTCAATATTATAAACAGATCACAATACATTAAGAGAATCACAATACATCAATATGTTAGCGAAGCTTCCGGCTTGAGTCTTCCGTTTCGCTCCTAGGATCCTAGACTTCCTCAGAAGTAAGTTCTCTTATGACATCCTCAGAAGTAAATTCTCTTTTTCAAGTTAGCGAAGCTTCCGGCTTGAGTCTTCCGTTTCGCTCCTAGGATCCTAGACTTCCTCAGAAGTAAGTTCTCTTATGACTTCCTCAGAAGTAAATTCTCTTTTTCAACATTTTGCATTGAGTGAGTGTCGTCTCTTTTATTTTCCACGGGTTTTTCTCTCTCTGCTTATCAAAGCTTATGTTCCAAATAGGAAACAACAACCTTCACGCCAGGCTCCAGTCCAGTCTGCTGCACGCTATGAAATGCAAAGTATTGAATAAAAGAATTTACTTCTGAGGAAGTCAAAAGGAGAATTTACTTCCGAGGAAGTCTAGGATCCTAGGAGCGAAACGAAGACTCAAGCCGGAAGCGTCGTTAATATATTGATGTATTGTGATTCTCTTAATGTATTGTGATCTGTTTATAATATTGAGATTCTTATGTATGAATAAAAAAAAATTCATACATAAGAATCTCAATATTATAAACAGATCACAATACATTAAGAGAATCACAATACATCAATATATTAACGACGCTTCCGGCTTGAGTCTTCGTTTCGCTCCTAGGATCCTAGACTTCCTCGGAAGTAAATTCTCCTTTTGACTTCCTCAGAAGTAAATTCTTTTATTCAATACTTTGCATTTCATAGCGTGCAGCAGACTGGACTGGAGCCTGGCGTGAAGGTTGTTGTTTCCTATTTGGAACATAAGCTTTGATAAGCAGAGAGAGAAAAAACCTTGGAAAATAAAAGAGACGACACTCAGTGCAAAATGTTGATTAAGAGCATTTACTTCTGAGGAAGTCATAAGAGAATTTACTTCTGAGGAGCGAAACGAAGACTCAAGCCGGAAGCGTCGTTAATATATTGATGTATTGTGATTCTCTTAATGTATTGTGATCTGTTTATAATACTGAGATTCTTATGTATGAATGAATAGGTGGTACTTTATGAATGTATGAATTAATTTCCACTTGGTATAAAATATCAATATAGTATCTATTGCATTATATGCAAAACGTTTCCCTGGTTGCTTCTATAACGCTGATCTTGTATCAACTAGGAGGTCTCTCGTATATTACTCTCACTCTCTCTCTCTGGACATGCAACATGTGAACTTTCTGAACATATCTAACAGCACACTAGCTGCGCTCTCTTGGATCGCCCGGGCTGGCCCAATTTCATCAGATCTCAGGAGTTAAGTGAGGTCGGCCATGGTTAGTACTAGAATGGGACACCAACCGGGAAGTACAGGGGTTGCTGTGCAGAGGCAGGCGATGGCAAGACCCACCTCTGAACACTGCTTGCTCCCTCTAAGCTGTGGAGTCCTGTGAGCAAAAATTCTACCTTGTGAGCGACTGGCATTCAAGTTGTGAGTGAGCGATGTGGCTGCTGCAGAAATTAGTTTGCTCTGGAGCCCTCCTCCCTGAGCTAGGACAAAAATGTGCAAGCCGGAGGCTAAAAAACTGTGAGCTGGCTCGCACCAGCTCAGCTTAGAGGGAACGCTGCTCTGGAGCCCTCCTTCCTGAGCTAAGACAAAAATGTGCGAGCCGGAGGCTAACAAACTGTGAGCTGGCTCACACCAGCTCACCTTAGAGGGAACGCTGCTCTGTATCCCTCCAGGTTGGAGGCTAACAAACTGTGAGCTGGCTCACACTAACTCAGCTTAGAGGGAACCCTGGCCGCCATTAGTCAGGAGGGGCTTCACGGCACTCCCCACCACTCCGCCCTGCGCAGGCACCTCTGGCTCCAACTCCTCCCATCCTTGCGCCTGGACCACTGGTCCGTGCACTTTAGGCTCCAAAGGAGCTATTCCGCCAACCTGGAGAATAATCCCAATTACCATCTTTTTTAAAAAAAAATCGTGTTTCTGGTTCTCACCACAAAAGAGGGCGAAAAAAAGAACACGTAAGACCTCGGCAGCAAACCGTACAAAACCCACTTCCTGTGTTTACTGCTTCTCCTCCTCCTCTTTGCTCTCCTTCCCCCAAGCGCCTGCCTCTTCCTGTTGTCCTCCCTGGCCTTCATCGTACATTTATTTTTGCTGATTCTCAAAATGGTGCGTTTTGCTTTCTGATGGGAGTCCAAAGCCACACGAGCCCCTTTGATGGGTTAGCTATCTTTTAAAAAAAAAAAAATTGCTGTCAATCATCACTGACTTACGAAGACCCTGTAAGGGTTTCAAGGGAAGAATCGTTCAGAGGTGGTTTGCCATTACCTGCCTCTGCACAGCAACCTCGGTCTTCCTTGTCGGTCTCCCATCCAAGGACTAACCAGGGTCTGCCCTGCTTAGCTTCTGAGATCTGACGAGATCGGGCTAGCCTGGGCCATCCAGGTCAGGGCAGAGGCAAACAGAGGTGGTTTGCCCTTGCCTGCCTCTGCACAGCAACCGAAGTCTTCCTTAGTGCTTAGCAGCCGAGATCTGATGAGATGAGACTAGCCTGGCCCATCCAGGTCAGGGCAGAGGCAAACAGAGGTGTTCATGCCATTGCCTGCCTCTGCACAGCAACCTCAGTCTTCCTTAGTGGTCTCCCATCCAAGGACTAACCGAGGCCAAGCCTGCTTAGCAGCCGAGATCTGATGAGATGAGACTAGCCTGGCCCATCCAGGTCAGGGCAGAGGCAAACAGAGGTGGTTTGCCATTGCCTGCCTCTGCACAGCAACCTCAGTCTTCCTTAGTGGTCTCCCATCCAGGTACTAACCGTGGCCAAGCCTGCTTAGCAGCCGAGATCTGATGAGATGAGACTAGCCTGGCCCATTCAGGTCAGGGCAGAGGCAAACAGAGGTGGTTTGCCCTTGCCTGCCTCTGCACAGCAACCTCAGTCTTCCTTGGCAGTATCCCATCCAAGTACTAACCAGGGTCTGCCCTGCTTAGCTTCTGAGATCGGATGAGATGAGGCTAGCCTGGCCCATCCAGGTCAGGAAAGAGACAAGCAGAAAAGGGGAGCTCTTGCCTGCCTCTGCTCGGGAACCCAGGGCTTCCTTGGTGCTCTCCCATCCAAGGACTCACCAGGGCCCACCCTGCTTAGCTTCCAAGATCTGACGAGCCTGGGCTGTCCTGGGCCATCCGAGCCCTGCTGGGTGGGGAAGGGAGCGAGGTGTAAGCCGAATAAATAAATAAATGAATCCAGGTCAAGGTTAGAGATGGACAGAGTTGGTTTGCCATTGCCTGCCTCTGCCCTACAACCCTGGACTTCCTTGGGGGTCTCCTTTAGAAGTACAAGCAGAAAAGGGTAGCTCTTGCCTGCCTCTGCTCGGGAACCCAGGGCTTCCTTGGTGCTCTCCCATCCAAGGACTCACCAGGGCCCACCCTGCTTAGCTTCCAAGATCTGACGAGCCTGGGCTGTCCTGGGCCGCAGAAAAGGGTAGCTCTTGCCTGCCTCTGCTCGGGAACCCAGGGCTTCCTTGGTGCTCTCCCATCCAAGGACTCACCAGGGCCCACCCTGCTTAGCTTCCAAGATCTGACGAGCCTGGGCTGTCCTGGGCCATCCGAGCCCTGCTGGGTGGGGAAGGGAGCGAGGTGTAAGCCGAATAAATAAATAAATGAATCCAGGTCAAGGTTAGAGATGGACAGAGTTGGTTTGCCATTGCCTGCCTCTGCCCTACAACCCTGGACTTCCTTGGGGGTCTCCTTTAGAAGTACAAACCAGGGTCGACCCTGCTTAGCTTCCAAGATCTGACGAGATTGGGCTAGCCTGGGCCATCCAGGTCAAGGCAAGAGACGAAAAGAAGTGGGTCTGCCATTGTCTGCCTCTGCGTAGAGTGGGCTTGCCACTGTCTGCCTCTGCATAGCAACCCTGGGCTTCCTTGGTGGTCTCCCATCCAAGTACTAATCAGGGTCTGCCCTGCTTAGCTTTGAGATCTGATGAGATCGGGCTAGCCTGGGCCACCAGGTCAAGGCAAGAGACAAACAGAACTGGGTTTGCCCTTGCCTGCCTCTGCATAGCAACCCTGGGCTTCCTTAGTAGTCTCCCCTCCAAGGAATGACCAGGGCTGACCCAGCTTAGCTTCCGAGATCTGACGACATCAGTCTAGCCTGGGCTATCCAGTTCAGTGCATCTATCTATACATACTGTTTTACTCCACCCTTCCTCCAGAAAGCTCAGAGGCGCAAACACCGTCCCTCTCTCCTCCATTTAAATTTCACAACAACCCTGTGAGGTAGGATTTAGGCGGAGAAGAAGCGGGCTCGCCCAAGGACGGCCAGTGAGTTCCACATCCGAAAAGGGATCTGAACCCAGGTCCCAGGCCGATGCTCTAAGCACGGCGCCACACGGCTTTGAACGTGGCCCGATTCTTCCCGCCCTTCCTTCCTCTGGCGTGGTTTTTTTTTACTTGTTTCCTTTACACCCTCCCTTTCTCCCCAAGTGGGGACCCACAGCGGCTTACGTCGTCCCTTCCCGCCTCCATTTTATCTTCACCACAACCCTGTGAGGTAGGTCAGGGTGAGAGAGGGTGGCTGGACCAAGGTCAGCCAGAGAGTTCCCGTGGCACAATGCGAGGATCCGAACTCAGGTCTCCCAGACCCCAGTCTGACCCTCTTGACCACTATGTCACGCCGGCTCTCTGCACCCTTTCACAGGCCCCCAGATACTCACTGTATGTCCCAGCAGAGCCAGACGGTCGAAAAGTGCCCCCAGCCGAGTTTCCGCACCACATGATAGCGCCCGTTGAACAGGTCCCCGATCTTTACTGGGTAATACCCACCTAGCAAGGAAGCAAAGGGAGGTTTAGTTCACTGCTATCTCGAGAGTCGCCTGCCCCTTGCGTGGCAGCACGTCGTAAGCACATATGATCAGCCCTGTTGGGTGAGAGCAGATCTCTCTCTAGCCCAGGGGTGTCGAACTCATTACTTATGAGGGCCGGATCTGACATAAATGAGACCTTGTCAGGTCAGGCCACGTGTGTCATAAAACGTAATGCCAGGTAAAGGTAAAGGTTTCCCTTGCTCGAAAGCTAGTCGAGTCCGACTCTAGGGTTGCGGTGCTCGTCTCCGTTTCAAAGCCGAAGAGCCAGCGCTGTCCGAAGACGTTTCCGTGGTCATGTGGCCAGCATGACTAAACACCAAGGCGCACGGAACACTGTTTCCTTCCCACCGAAGTGGTACCTATTTATCTACTTGCAATGTCTTGCTTTCAAAGTGCTAGGTTGGCAGGAGCTGGAACTAGAGACGGGAGCTCACTCCGTCACGCGGCACACTCGGGTCTCGAACTGCTGAACTACTGACCTTCCACAGCCTGCAGTTCAGCGTCTTAACCACTTGAGCCACCGCAGCTCCTAATGCCAGGTAGCGTGTTTTTATTTTAAGGGGAAAAAAACCACCTTTGTGTTTGTGTCCTTTATAAAGTTTACATCTCTCAATGCCAGGTAGCGGAGATGTAAACTTTATAAAGGACACAGACACAAAGGGTTTTTTTCCCCCTTAAAAAAAAAACACGCTTAAAACATTAGCCCTCTGGCAAATACTTTGTTTATTTAACCATGTCTGATAACTGACACCTCTTGGCTCTGAATTACTGCATCAACAGCAGAACTGGGAGAAGCAGCAGAAGACAGCCGGTTCCACTGCGGGCCTGAGAAGCCCTCCAGGGGGGGCCTAATCCGGCCCCCGGGCCGCATGTTTGACCACCCTGCTCCAGCCGTTTCCCACAATGCTTAGATGCATCCCACCGGGAAAGGCATAAGCAGAGCCTGCTGGCTGTGCCCAAGCACCGGACAGTTGGAGACGTTCTGCCTCCGACATCGAAGGCCGCACTCGGCTATCGTGGCTAAAGGACGGCAGACCCCCGCCCCCGGTTCTCCTCGATGTCCAAATACCTCGACAGTAATCCCGGGGGTCCTCTTGTTCCTCATCGTCTGATCCCAACATCCCCTCTCCGATCACAGCAGGAAGGGGCAAGGGGGGAACCGGGGGGGTACGTGGGGTGTCATCGGAACAGGAGGGACTAAGAGGCCTGTGAAGGGAGAGGGGAGAAAAGGAGCCGTTAGAAGCCGCCAAGACCCTGCTTCCCTCAGTCTCAAAAGTGTTCTGGCTCCCGCGGATGTGAGGGGCGGCAGCCACCTCCGGAGACATCTTCTGCTCGCGAGCGCTACCTTTGGGGAGGAAAGAATCGCAGAGTCAAGCTGCCCCCCATTTGCAGGTACTGTGTAGGCCTGTGGCGACGGTGGGGCCGTTTGGGGCCACGCCCCCTTCATCTACAGCCACGCCCCACACATTTACCTCACAGGGGTGATTATTTTTAAAAAGCTGAAGGGAGCTGCCTCGGTACTGCTGCTGCTGTTCCTCTCCCCAAAATATTTTTTTAAAAGAAATTGTGATGTCAGAAGTGACGTCACACCCCACCGGTCCCGCCCCACTGGAAATTTCCTGGCTATGGGCCTGACTGTGTACATCAGGGGTCCCCAACCTTTTCGAGCCTGTGGGCACCTTTGGAATTCTGACAAAGCACGGCGAGCGCAGCCACAAAATGGCCGCCGCGGGAGGCGGAGGCGGGCACAAAATGGCTGCCACGGCTTACCTTCGGCCACACGGTGAAGAGCCTGGTGCTGTGGTGGCGGACGCTGCCAAAGGGACAGTTTTCAAAGTCTGAACAGACCATCAGAAGCCTTGCTGGGGGAAAAGCCCCAACCAGCCCCCCCCCCAGCCCCGGTTCCTAAAAACACTTGGTTTCAGCAGGTGCCCGGGGGCACCACGTTGGAGACCCCTGATGTACACAACACAACTGCCTTTCGCACACAATCCTCCTGTCCGATCCTCGCCTGTGTCCTCTTCCCCTCCTCGCCTGTGTCCTCTTCCCAGACCATAAACTCCTCGGGCACCCATCCTCTCTTTTGAAAGTCATTATTTTATCACTCTGTTACCTGCCAAGGGTCTAACGGGGCCTGAATCAATGAACTCCACTGCCGCGGCGACTCTTCGGCAAAACTACGTACGTACCGATGGGCTTCTGGTCCCTCCTGTTCGGTCTCCCCCATGCCGGCCGACACGAGAGGGAGAGCGTCCCAGAGCCCGGGATACCAGTTGGCAAAACGGGCGAGACCGCTGCGCACCGTTTTCCTGGTTCGTGTCAGTGAAAAGGGCACACGGTTGGCCCCACGGCCAATGGCCCCTTCCAAAGCGACAATATCCCTTGGGGGAGAGACCCCGGGTCCGGGGCGAGGGCTGCCGGATCTGCCGCGAACGCCTGCCAGGACCGGCAAGGCGGGGGCTCTAGCCACGCAGACGATGCCGCCGGCCCGGCACCTTATCTGCCCAGCGTGCCCCCCTTGTTAGTAACAGAGGAATTAATACCAGCTGAGCTCAGAGCCCTGCCCCTCCCCGATAAGAGCCCAAATGCTCACAGAGACAAGATGGCGGCGGGGGGTTAAAAATAGCCCGGGAGGTCCCCGGCAGCTGCTGTCCAGGGATGGAAATGGAATTTGGGAGGTGGGGAAAAGGACAGGCCGAGGGACGGCCATCCCCCCCCACCCCCGTGGGGCCGAGGCTTCATTCTCACTAGAAGCGGTCAGTCCCCGTTCAGGTTGTACGGCTGCAGGTGGGAAGGCAACAGGAAGGGGACGTTCCCCACCCTCCAAAATCCTCCCCACGCAGACAACAAGCATGACAGACGAACGGGGATTCTAGCTGGATTGTCCCCTTTTTAATGCACAGAAATTCTGTGGTTGTTTTTTAAAAATAATAATAATTATATTTATTGATTTTTCACATTTTATACAGAGAAGAAACTCAAGCTTAACAATGTTTCATTTGGCAGATATCTTCACTCAACTTTAAATAAATACCTATCGCTCACAAAGGTATGCCTGTTTCATGGACTTAAACCAAAATTTGACTCTTTCAACCAGTTATAGAACCTAGACCAATATTTTTCATATTTCTCTATACTCTTTTCTTCAATAATACAGGTTAGTTTCTCCATTTCTGCTAACTCAAACAGTTTACTAATAATCTCATCTTTAGAAGAAATACTATCCTCCTTCCATTTCTTAGCAAAAACAATTCTTGCTGCCGTTAACGTTTGCATTATAAAATAAATTTCTTTGTTCGAAAATCTATCAGGTATCACATTTAACAAAAAACATTCTGGAGTCAAAGGAACATTTTTATCTATTATTTCATCCAACATTTCTTTCACTACCAAC